CCTGTTTCCACTTCCCACAAGAGAAGACATTGTGCACTAGGGAGAACAAAAAGGCAAAAAGAAAATGCGAACATCCCCTTACCTGCAGGTTGTTTGTCTTGATGTATTGCCACATTTCCTTCACAACCTGAGAACGCGCCAGTTGCTTGACACCAGTGCCCAGGAAGTCAATCAGAGACTGGGAGATAGGGAGAGGTTTGGAAAACCCAGAAACTTTCCCCCCTCCTCCTTTTTCATGCTTGTCCTTTCCCTCTGTCTTCGGCTTCTTGGGGCGTGGCTGTCCGTTCGAAGCACCTGCAAAGATCCATCATCCCTCCCAGCATACCAGCACCACCCCAGCACACCCAACACAGCCCACAAACCGAATTCCAATGAGACTCGTTCGCCACCCAAATTTAATTCGCATGTCCAAACCTGGGTAGCATCCCGTACTGCGTACGTATTCCGGCATACGCATACGAACCCAAAATCGTGTACGCCAACATAAAAACAAAATTAAAAAAATCCCAAAATCTGAAAAAAAGTACGGTGCGCAGAATAAGAACACAAACAATTTTTGCCTGGGAGTCGTACCCAAATTCCCAACCAAGCTCGATTAAAAAATAAAAAACCTTAAAGCAAACTTTAAAAGTATAAAATTTTAAAAAATACTTTGAAACAGTTTTTCAATTATTATGATAATATATTACCTTTTTTAAATTCTTGAATTTTTACTCGAGTTTGGTTGGGAATTCGGGGACGACTCCCAGGCAAAAGTTGTTTTGTATCATGATTCTGCATAACATATATTTGTTACAGATTTTTGTCTTCATTTTTCTGTTTTTTTCTTTCTTTTTTCTTTTCTTTTCTTTTATTTCAAAATTTCAATTTGAATTATTTAATAATTTATTTGTTTTTTTGTGTTTTTGATTTTTAACTCGAGTTTGGTACAGAATTTTGAGATGAGTCTCAGGCAAAAGTTGTTTGAAATGGCATTTTGCAAACTTTCTTTTCACAATTTTGAATTTTGAATTTTTCGATTTTTTTTTTTTTTTTTTTTTTTTTTACGTGTTCCCACGTACAGGAGTACGTGTGTCGCGTACAGGAATATGTGTTACCCGTGTACGTGCAACTCGCGTGCACGTACGCCGTGCTACCCAGGTCCAAACCAAACAAATGGCCAGACAAATAATTCCAGAACTGAGGCCATGCGATCATCCATCCACCCCCCAAAAACTTGTTGGCATGTCCAAAGCAATCAAATGGGTGATTGGATGACATGCATAAATCGAGAAATGGTCCAAAATAGGCTACCAGCCTGGCCGCCCGGGTGACCTTGTTTGCCCAGGCCGCCCGGCCATGCAAGGGCCATAGTAGGTCCCAGCAAAAAAAGAAAACAAGAAAAAAAAAACGAAAGAATCTAAAAAAGAAACTATGTTATGCAGAAAAATCAAGTGAATAACTTCTGCCTCAGGGTCACATCGAAATACTTTACCAAAAAAAAAAAAAAAAAAGTTTTTTAATTTTGTATTTTAAACTGAGTACGGATCCGGGCCGCCCGGTCGCCCAGTGCCTGCCCGGGGGAGGTCCCGGGCGGCCTGGCCGGGCGGGCGGCCCAGTTGGGGGCCGGGCAACCCCAGCACACCTTGTCGAGGGGGGGGGGTCAGACCCCAAATCGCCATCAGCTGGGGTCCCCAGGGCCTACCGGGTCCGACCAGGCCTGGAAAAAGGCGAGTCGGGCCCGTGAGGCCAGCTTTTTTTTTTTGAAATTGTGACGGCCCTCCGGCCGTCGATCATCCATGATCAACGGCAAGAGGGCCGTTTGATGTTTGGAGTGAAAACGTCGACCCGTTTGAACAGCCGACTGGCTGCCGCGGCCTGCATCGGCTGTCCAAACGGGGCCTTGGTCTTCCCCCGCCGGCGCAGTTCGTGGTTCAGCCGCCCGTCGTCGTGGAGCCGCCCGTAGCCACCGCCTGGGAGCTTCACTCCCCCGTCGCCGTGGACCCGCCCGTCGCCAGCGTCTTGGAGTCGCCAGCGCCGTGGAGCCGCCCGTCGCCCGTCGCCGTGGAGCCGCCCGTCCCCCTCTCATCATCATCTTCTTCTTCTTCTTCTTCTTCTTCTTCTTCTTCCTCTCTCCTCCTCTTCCGACTATCTTCTTTTTCTTTTTTTTTTGTTCCATTCGTCATGGATAGGTCGCGAGATAAACCACAGGTAAGAAAAAAGAAAAGAAAACTGATCCCTTCTTCTTCTTCTTCTTCTTCTCTCCTCCCCCGCCTCCCCCTCATCTTCTTCTCCTTCCTCTTCTCTCCTCCTCTTCCGACTATCTTCTTTTTCTTTTTCTTTTGTTCCATTCGTCAGCGATAGGTCGCGAGATAAACGACAGGTAAGAAAAAAAAAAAGAAAACTTCTCCCCGGCCGACTATTTTCTTCTTCTTCTCTCCTCCCCCCGCCTCCCCCTCATCTTTTTCTCCTTCCTCTTCTCTCCTCCTCCTCTTCCACCCATCTTCTTCTTCTTCTTCTTCTCTCCTCCTCCTCTTCCGCCCATCTTCTTC